AAAATCTACTCATTGGTAGCCTTCATTCCATCAGCAATCTTAGCAAATTTGCTATGTGAAATAAGCATGTTCATAAATTCTAGGGATTAAAGTATAGCATCTTTGGGGGCTGGGGAAGCATTATTCTGCCTAGAACCACCATGTTTCTGTACTTAACACCTGGGAAATCCTTGTGCAGATGACCCAAGCCTATTTCCTATGAGCCATGATTCCTAGAAGGGGCTGCATTATTAGGATGCTCAGCTTAGGCCAGAGGGTGGGTCAAGAATCAGCTATTTGGTGGACTGAGAGGAGGGTTTAGATACACAGGTTGAGGAATTCACGTGTGTGTATTGCAGATGCCATATGTTTTCTTACACTGGTTCCCAGAGTTAAAGACTAGTCTGGCTGTCATCACTCAAAAAAAAAAAAAAAAGCTGCTTTCCTTTTTGCCTTATCTTATCCCAAGAGATATTGGGAAAAACCACTTCATGTTACCCCTCTAAACAAAGCTGGTTTGGGGATTTCATGTCACCAAATCCCAGTTGTAAAATTGGGAACATTCTAGGAAAGTTGGTGATTGGGGCCAAAAATACAGTGACTATAAACCCCTGGCTCAGAAGCATTGGGAACATTTAAGGTAATTTTGGTATTCTATTGGAACTGCAGTGGCTGGAACAGAAAAGAGTAAGAGGTTAAACACCAATGGGTAAGATCTAGTTCCACATCAGAGCTGAACCAGAAGGGAGGTGGGACAGTTTGAGAGAAGGAAAAGAAAGGATAAAAGGGTAAAATTTCAGGAACTTTAGCTCAAAGTACAAATAATCAAGTTCCATTTCATTATTATTTTATTCCAAGTAAGTGTGACACCTCCACATAATAGACATGACAACAAGTACACCAGTGATCAGATCTCATTCTCTGATCTGTGTGACTCACTACTGTTAAATGCAATTGGCCTACATTTTTTCTTCCCCACCCCTTTCTGAAACTCCAAGATGACCAAAGAACGATCTAATCTAAAACCTCTTCTTTCTTTCATGTATGTATATGTTTAAACGGATATATATGAATATGCATGCATATATACATATGTGTGTGTGTGTGTATATAGGCATGGATAGATACGGTATGTATACATATAAATATACATATGAGCTTGTTTATATAGCCTTAGCATAGGGTGATAGGGAGAGAATGGAACCAAGAATCAAGAGACTTGGGATTTTGCTTTTAGTGTGCCTCCAGTTCTGTAGGAGACGTGAATCAGACCACGTGTTTGCTTATCACTGAAAGATGTTTTAGACTAGATGATCTTTCTGATTCTTTTCTACTCTAAAACCCTGAACATCTACCTGGGAAGTCAGGTACGTTCCTGACAGGAATTATCTTACGTTCTATTAATGATCAAACAAAGACTCCAGCCCTTGACAAGTTATCTTCCCTCTCTGTCCAGTCCATACTTCTTCTAGATTCTAATTCTGGGCAGAATTTTTTGCTAGTCTCTCATTTTTTCCCCATCAGTACAATTTAGAAATGAAGGAAGGTATCAAAACAAAGATACTTCATTATAGAAAGATTTTGCCAAGCACCTCTAGACTTTTGAGTCCGTGGCTTATTAGTATCCAAGTACTACATGTTTGTCATATAATAAATATTTGCAACATACTAAAGGCCATATGGGGAACAAGGAAGATTCAGAAATTGCAGGTATGGATATTTTGGATTTAGTTTTGGCTTTATTTTCTAAGTCAACAGATATATACTGAACATCTTCTAAATGTTAAATATACAAGATATAAATGCTCTCTGCAAATCTAGTGGAGGAGATATATTGAACATGTAATTATATTAAAAACAATGAGCTACAGATAATTAAGTTATTTGAAGATACAGTTGGAAGTGTTAAGAGTTTAAAACAGGAGGCTTGCTCTAGAGGAAAGGGTGCCCTTGCAAACTAACTTTTTGGCCTAATTTAGTCACATTCCACTCCAGGTCTAAAAGTTTCTCGTATCGCAAGAGATCTTCTCATTCTAACATACAGTAGAGGGGCGCCTGGGTGGCTCAGTTGTTAAGCATCTGCCTTCGGCTCAGGTCATGATCCCAGGGTGCTGGGATCGAGCCCCGCATCGGGCTCCCTGTTCCTCAGGAAGCCTGCTTCTCCCTCTCTCACTCCCCCTGCTTGTGTTCCCTCTCTCGCCGTCTCTCTTTCTCTCTCTGTCAGATAAATAAATAAAATCTTTGGAAAAAAAATAACATACAGTAGAAATCCTGATACAGGATCTAAAAGCATGTTCCATGTTCTGACCTTCACTGATGTGCTTGGATCCTCCATGAGTTTGTAAGCTCCTTGAAGAATTTTTTCTCCTTTTTAAAATACTTTATTCAATGAATGCTTATTAAGCCAGGCATTTATGATTGAGATTCACAGATAAAAAATCACAGTCCCTGTTCTCAAGTGGCCATGGTCATGTTGGGGGGAAAAAGCAAATAGACAATTTCAAATCACGTAATTGGTATGGTTCGAGCAAGATTCATAGGGTGCTGGCATTGCTGAGAGTAGAGGTGTCAAAGCTGGTCTTCAGTGGATGTTTTGGAAGACGATCCTCTGAAGAACAAAAAGGAATTAGCAAGTGAAAAAGGTAGAGTGTTTTGGTGCAGAAGTTCTGGTCATGCATGAAAAGGGAAGGTCATAGGAGACACCATGCTCTTTCCTGGAAAGGGAGGTCTCAATTCACGTGGCTGAATGGACAGTTACAGAAGATGGTGACATAGGCAGGGACCAGAATTTGAAGGTTAAAAAGTTGGGATTGTGGGGAGCTATGGTAAAAGTTCTTTTTTAAAGAGGGACAAAACATTATTACTCTGTTGGATTTGCAGTGGCTGGGACAGAAAACAGTAAGAGATAAATTGTGTGAAGCATGGATCAGAAGAGGGTTCTACTTGGGGCCTGGAAATCAGGTAGAAGCCTCCTTCAGGAGTCTGGGTTAAACATGCTGCGTGAACTAAGGGTTATAGCAGCAGAGATAAATAGACGAGGGAAGAGAGTCAGTAGAAGTGTAAAGTTGGGATCGAGTGGACTCAGGTTGGGGCTGTGGGAAAATATTAGTGCTATCATGACTGAGGTCCCTATGGAACATCTATATGGAACCATCTAGATAGAAGCCAAATAGGTGAATCTGGAACACAGGAAAGGATGACCAGAGGATGTCAGTTTGTGAAAAGACAATGACAACATTTCAAATAAGTTCATATGTCTTATTGATAGGAATACTTCTTCATTACAAAAAGCCCTTAATAAATATACTTTTAATATTCAATGGATGAAAGAATGAATGAGTGAATAGGAGTTGTTAGGAGTAGCAAAGAGTTCCTGTCAATTACTATAGTTCATGTATTTGAGTGTATAAGTGTGTATATGTGTGAATATATATGTATTTATGTAAATGTGTCTGTGTAGTTATATATGCACACATACACATTCATATCAAGATTAGCATTATATTAATACTGTACATCTCTGTTAGTCTGCTAGGGCTGCCATAACAAAACCACAGGACTGGGTGCCTTGAACAACAGAAATTTACTTTCTGACATCTTTGGAGGCTAAAAGTCCAATATGGGGCTCCTGGGTCGCTCAGATAGTTAAGCGTCTGCCTTTGGCTCTGGTCATGATCCTGGGGTCCCGGGATTGAGCCCCACATGGGGATCCCTGCTCAGCAGAAAGCCTGCCTCTCCCTCTTCCCCTGCTTGTGCTCTCTCTCTGTCAAGTGAATGAATAAAATCTTAAAAAAATAAATAAATAAAAGTCCAATATCAGGTTGCCCTCAAGGTTAGTTTCTAGTTTCTTCCCGGCTTGCAGACTGCACTTTCTCACTGGCTGTCCCAAAGGCTTCCCTCTGTGCCAGCGCAGACAGGGATTCTGTGTCACTTCCTCTTTTATAAGGACACCAGTCCTAGATTAGGATCCCACTGTTAGGACCTCACTTAATCTTAATTCCCTCCTGATAGGCCCTGTCTCCAAACACAGTCATAGTGGGGGTTAGACTTCAAACATATGAATTTTGGGGGAACACAATTCAATCCATAACAACATCAGTGCATGTGACATCCAGATCGACTTTTCCTCAGACAAAGGGTAGTCTCTGTGAAAACAAAGAAACTGTTCTGTGTCATAAAAGAGAATCCCTAAATAGAAGGGGAGAGATATACCTGTTAAAGTTCAAAGAGTTTGCTTATTTATGAAGTAATTATAATTATTTTCTACTTTACCTGATTATATAAAAATACAGTTATATTCCTACAAAGAGGAGAGGATTATAAGCCACTTGCCAGTAGATAAACCTTTAATAGCTGAATAGGTTTAATCAGTTGTTATTGTCTATTACTCCATGGAAACCAGGCAGGAAGAGCCAGAAAAGGTTGACGTCCCACAACAATTTCTTATCATGAAGGTGTAAACTTAAAGCGGAGATCACTGGTAGAAAACTGTGTTGCATTCTTGGCATGTGCGCACTTGTAATAAAGTTAACTTTCACTTACGGTTATATTTAACGTAAAGGCTAATCCCAGTTTATTTTGTGCCTGTTCTGTTTTACCTCTTTGCACACTTGGCCTTCGTTTAGCCCTGGCCTCTGCGTTGGTGTTTCCCCCCAGAAGCTCCCTGGGGTTGGGCAGCCCCCGCCCTGATAGCCAGGTGACAGAGACGGGGTGGAAAGCCTGAGCTCCGAGGGCGCGGAGCCTCTCGCATACCGTTCCCCTCCCACCATCATCCCACTGCCGGAAGGCGGAGAGGGCTTCAAACTTCGCTCCAATCCGCAGCCGGCCTTCCCCGGGGTCCCCCGCTGGGCGACCCGCCCGCCGCGGACCGAGTTGGAGGAACTTTGCAGAGCTCGGCGTCAGAGCCTGGAGCGGCGAAGTGCTCCCCCTCCTCCCCAGCGCCCCCCTCCCTCTGCCCCCGCCTCCCGGTCCTCGCCCAGGCGCGAGCTCCGGTGATAGGACGAGCCCCGGGCTTGCACTGTGTATATGCAAACCAGAGCCCCGGCTCCCCAGGGCTGCCCAACCCGGCCGGGGCTGCGGCTGCGGCTGGCGCTGCGGTGGGCGCCGCTGTCCTCGCCGGAGCCGGGCACTGTCATGCCCCCGCCGCGCGGCGGGCCGCTGCGTCCCGGAGCCGCTATATAAGCCCAGGCAAGGGGACACTCGGAGGGGCTGAAGATGAAGGTGCCCGCGCATGGGCCCCCACTGATTGCCAACCCCTCCCGAGCCCGCGCCCCGCGCGGAGCCCGCGGCCGCCGAGGACCCGCCTTCGCCGCAGTAGCAGCTGGAGCAGCGACAGAGGAGGCAGCTGCGGCGGTGGCGGCGGCGCCCGTCGCCCGAGCGCGTAGAGCGGCGGCGGCAGCTCGGGGGCCGCCGCTGCCCCGGCTGCCATGAGTTGTGCGGAGGTGATGTATCACCCCCAGCCGTATGGAGCGCCCCAGTATCTGCCCAACCCTGTGGCAGCTGCAACCTGCCCCACAGCTTACTACCACCCGGCGCCCCAACCTGGCCAGCAGGTGAGTCACCGACCGGGCAGCCCTCCGGGGGCGGGGGCGAGGGGCACCGAGAGTATCTGTCTGGGACTCGGGCGACGTCCCGCCGGGACGGGCGGCGCGGAGGATGCTCTGGGACCTGCGGGAGCGCCCTTGAGCAGAGAGGAAAAAAAGGCTTCGGGAAGGGACAAGCAGCCTGGTGGACGGGTGGGGATTCGGTGTGAGGCATTACCTGGCTGGGGGCTTCGTTGAGCTGTTGTCACCGGAGCTCAGAGGCTGCTCCTCATAGCCACCTTAGCTCTTTGGGCTCAGTTCTCTGACACTCACCAAGGGCATCTGTCTTAGGAGTATGTGAGTAAACTTCCTTTTAAATCAAATATTTTGTTTTCTTTGGAAAGGTGGAGTGTTTCAGGGTTCTCTTGATTAAGAGGATAAAATGTGTCGCCGACATAGGGGAGGCTACCTGGACAGAGAGCTCATGGAATGACCTTTCTGGAACTTTTATGGAACAGGCGTCTAGCGTAACGTCTGTCAAATGTTACTAGAACTTCTCTGTAGAGTCTGTCTTCTTATGACTGTGACTTAGAGGGCAGGAATTGATCCCAAACTTCCTCATTCATTTTTAATTCCATCAAAGCACAGAGATGTTATAGTTCAGCCTAGTGGAAGTGTTTCCCCGCTCAAGAGGTATAACCTTGGATCACTGGATGCTGGGTCTTCATCAAGCTGAGAGTGACCGAGAATGCTGTGGATAAAAAGGGTTCTGGAACCAGGGAGATGATACAGTTCCTTTAGAAGGGAGAGTAGGGTGTGGGGGAATTTAGCACTAGGTACCCCTGGACAGTCCTCTCTGGACACCAACAGAATGTGTGTCAGGCCTTAGTTAGTGCTACAGAGAACACATATGTGAGTATGTGGCACTAGCTTGTACCAAAGTAAGGTCCTCAGACTCTGGGAATTAGGGAATTAGGGTTGAGTTGGTGAGATTTAAAAAATACAATTTATGCACTCCGGAAATTACCATCCACAGAATTTATTGATTGGGTTTTTAAAAATTTCTTAGGAACCATATGTTTTATTGTGGTCTTGAGGGTTTGGCTCTTTATTATAATTTACATAATTAATTTTGATTTCTGTATTCCCTTTACCTGTTTCTTTGCTAGATTTGTAAGGCTACCCTTCGGAAAGAAATCATAACTTCAGTGTAGAATTTAGGGACTGTAAAATTCAGCTGATTCTGGAGCACATGCCCCAGAGTTATCTGCAGAACAATATAAGCTTAACAGGACCAAGTAGGGCAAAAGAGAAAGGAACCCCATTTTATTGCTATCATTTATTTATTTATTTTTTAATATTCAGGAGCTTTAGCATTTGAAAACAAGATTACTTTTAGGAAAGAGAATGGGAAAGCATTTTGTAATTTGTGGTCAATGGTGATAGATTTAAAACCTTTTGGTTATGCTGTTTGCTTTTCTTTGATTTTAAATATAGAAGATATAAGTAATGGAGAAAACCAATTGGTACAAATTAGACAAGTGAGGCAAAGAGATACTGGATATCATTTTTATGTGTTTTATAAACACTCAGTCCCAGATGAACCACCCTATTTCCTCCCTTCCTTTCCTCCATCTCAGAGACTGTGGAGGCTCTCAATTGTCAATTGGAATGTGGACAAGCAACAGACTCAGAATTACTAAGCATACAGGAAAGTATTTTTCCCCTTAAAAAATAACTTGAACTATAGAAGTTATGAATAGGGTTTTGTTCTATAGAACTGTGAAAATAATTCCATTAATATATGAATCTGTGGTGGAGGTTAGGCTTATAATACTCTTGAACTAGAAAATAAAATTCAGTATCAGAAAAATTATAAATTACTGATCATAAAATTCAGTTTTCAGTAAGAAATAACTCTAGTACTCTAACTTGTGTAATAGTGCTGCAACTCAAACCCCAAATATCATTCTTTTGCTGAAACCATCAACAAACTGAAGAATGAGGTTTCTTTTCACCTGAATTGTCCACATTGACAAGTTGCACATAGTAGTAAATGTCACCTTCACTACACTATAGGGTTCCGTAGGTATCGTTCAAGTAGATAATTGGCTGAGTCAACTTTAAGAACTTAGCTGAGAGGTGTGCTTGGAAATTTTCATGTTACTTTTACTAAAATGGCTTGTTGGAGGTTACTTTTTCTGATGTTGTTAAGTAAAGAAATAGACTATAACTGGCTAGCGAAATAAAGAGACTTGATAGTGTAACTACTGTTCTTTTACTGTCAGGAGTTTATTTTGATGACCTATATTTTCTATTGGAAAAAAGTAAATCAGGAAATTCTTATCAGGCTGACAGCATTTTTAGACTATGTGGTGCGTGGGTGAAGTGGGACTAATATTGACTTGGCTGGCCCTAATGCAGTCATCCGAGAATACATATTTTGGTTGTTTTTTACATTCCATAAGGTTTTATCATTATTATCCATGAAGATTGTTTTCTCCATCCATGGGAAGTGACCCCTAATAGCATCTTGCCTGGGAGACAAAAATAAAGGCTACCACTCCTACTGCATTTGAAAAATTGATTTGTTGAGCACAAAAAAAGAAAAGCAGAAAAAGTGATAGAGTTATAAAGAAAGTTTCACGGTCATTGATAAAATGTTAGAAAAAAAACCAAGCTTTTCAGCTTTGTATTGCTTCTGTAATCAGTTGTAGTGGTGTATCTTTGAGCCCTCAAATCCATATAGCTCAGAAGTCCTTGTAAGTTAGTATAGCATAATGGTCTATTATGATGGATTTTATCCAAAGGTGTATTTTTCCTCTCCATGTATGATCATATAGCCGAAAATTATTTTTGAAATAATAGAATATCATCCTCCAGGCATGTGTACTCTGCTTTATCCTTAAAAACACGGATGTGCACTTGAAATTTTAAATTCAGATTCTCGTCAAGCATATTATGCATTGTACGTGGGTAATAGGTTGGTGTCTTAAAAACACAGTTAACTGCATATATATTGGGCGGCACTATGTGAATCAAAATAATTTGTAAATATGTCTGCAGAGTAAATTTTATAGTCCCTGACATTAATTCCTAGAAGTTGCTTGGCTGTGAGTAAATCTTCCAGTGTGCTTTATCCAGCCAGGATTTGCTGAGAGATGCTAAGCTCCCTGGTCCACATGCCCACCATCTCTTTAACATCTCCTCAAGAGAACTCTTGACTCAGTCTCTCAGCCCATGCTCCGGAGGCACGATGACACTGCAGAACGTGTCCAGAAAGGAATGTGCTTGCATTCTAACAGTGACAGTAGGAACTAAGAAAAACAAATTTCCAAATATGTGTCAGGAAAAATTGAGGGAAATGACATGAAATCATAGATTCCCTTCATACCTGGGGGACTTCTCATCTTCAATGTAGACAGTCTGTTATTGTCTAAATCTGCCTCCCCCCTCCATTTACTCATAATGTCAACACTAGAAAATTACGTAAAGCTTTCAGAATCGTGTCGTTTATAGATGAGGTGGTGAAAGCAGGAAAAAAAAAAAAAAAAGATCGCCAGTTTTCTAATTGTGCATAGGGGCTTTTAACAATTACACTCCGGGTTTCATATAAGTTAGAGCATATTTACTCAGTCCTCTTCAAGGGGGACAGCTGGGCGAATCTGCCTGCATGCTTTCACCTAAAAGAATTAAGTGCTCCTAGGAGGCAGAACTCCAGTTATAAGTTTGTAAGGAGTTTGTTTGTTTGTTTGTTTTTTCCAAACTATTTCTCTGGACTTTGGCGCCTTGGTTAGGTCATAGAATGCTCTCTAATAAACACCCTGAAAAAACATACTTCAATCCCTCCTTTTGCAAATGGGAGAATGGATGCTCACAGGGCTGAAGTGGCTAGTCAAAGATTTCAAAGCTAATTGGTGACAAATTTAGGACCATCAGAAGTCATGCTCCCCAACGTAGCATCTTTCCACCATCCCATGCAGTCTCCGAAGCTTTTTCTTTTTTTTTTCTTTTTGCTATTGCACAATAGGCTTATTTTTGTCTTTAGTGCTCCAAATCAACTTTTTGATAAAGAAGATTAATATGCAGTAGATTCTTTGGCCTTGGAGCTTGAAATTCTTTCCAAGTCCTTGGTAGTGTACTTTTTTAGTTTAGGCATTCCAAAGTCCTTTTGAAAGCATTTGTATTATGCTAATGACTTTTGCTATCCATTCTGCATCCTTCGTTGATGAGGCAGAATATCCACTTAGCAAATGAACGTTTATTTATTTTAAAATAATCTTCAGGAAGTGGTATTAACAGTCAGCTTTAAGTGCCTCATATATTACTGTTATTCCAATGTAAGTTTAGATTCATTAAACGGAAAGAACACAATTATATCCTAAATAGTCTCAATATACAGCCAACTTATTTAAGGTGGAGGATCCAATTTTCTTGCAACTGTAAGCAAGGACTTAAGTGGACTTATAAGAATTCATACAGGACTTCTTTGAGAAAGAACAGCCCCTATAATTCCACACTACACAAATTAACTTGACTGCAGAGACTTAGAAGCTTAAAGTGCCCCAGAGTTTTATGCTCCCAATAACTTTCCAGCCAGAAAATTCAAAGCTGGAGAAAAAAAAATTAAACTTTAAAATAACTAAACTAAACTGTTGTCTCTGGCAGTCAACCAGAAGAGAGATTACAATAACGATAGAAAGGGAAGGCTTGGAATCAGTAAAATCATGCATGGTGGAGATTTGTTCACCAGGAAACCAAATGCCAGGACAAGAAGACACTCTTTGTTTTGGACAAATGCAAGGAAGTTTTAGTTCACCTCGCACTTAATAAAGTCTCCCATCCCATGAAGTTGGGGATGGCAGGGACATGTGCCACACCAAAGGAAATAAGGGTGTTCAGAGGGAAGAAGCTTGCCATTGTGCACAGTGACTCTGGGTTATTGCAGCTAAGATGCTGAGCTGATCCCTTTGGGTAGTATATATATTTCTGTCTTGTTACCCTTCTGTGCAAAGGGAATGTTCAATGAG